AGGTCATTTATAAATATATTGAATAATACTGCAGATCTGGTGTTTTCAAGGTCTCTGATCCTTCCAGCTGTAGGAGACGAGTGGGCAAAGGTAGGGGTGAGCACAGGCTGTGGGGGGAATGGGGTGTTCCTGGCAGCAGGAGATGGGGCCAGATGGGACTGGGACCCAGCAGCTTTATCCTGACCCAGCATCAGCCTCCCAGGGCCAGCCCTGCCTCAGTGCCAGGCTGTGTGTGTGCAATAACCCTGTGAGCGAGGGGATCGCTAAAGGGAAGGGCAATGTAGCCTCTCATGGAGTATAGCTGACAACAAAGTAGTGAAAAAAACTTCCTCATGATTTCTTCTGGGCAAGGTGTCTCAGGAGGAGTGGTTGTGAATTGAGTATTTTAAGTAATGAAAACCAAGAAAGGGATGAAGGGATGAATTCTGCATAGCTAGAAGGGATAGAATAAATAATATAGCATAATTTACTTATTAGATACTTAATATACTATTCTAACTTTTGCAGTCCCCTAATTCAGCTCTAAGAAGCCTACTGTGATTTGTGAGTTTTGACTCTTTGCTTAATTCTTCCAGAGGATGCTGTAGATGGATCATCTGCTAAATCCCAAAGCAGTGTCAAGAAAGACAGCTGTCCTCAGTCCAGTGTCCAGGCTCAATTTCCACTACAGTCTGCTGGCACTTCTTCTGCAGGCCTTAAAATTAAAACCTCATCTGCAAGTACTGGCCAGCTTAGGAAGACAGGTACCACTACCTGAGTCTTGAATATGGGAGAAATCTATGGTGTTTGATACCAGAACATGAAGAACTGGCACTGCCTGGGAACAGTTCTGTTCTGGGTCATGTTGTGGAGGGAAAAAACTGTGGCAGACCATGGCAATAGTTAGCTGGAAAGCTCAAAGTGCCATGCAAGAGGAGATGATGTCATTCAACAGATGCTTGTCTTCACTCTGAGTCACTGCCCAAGTTTGCTGAGGGGCTGACAGTGTGCTCTCAGCCAAGAGATGAAAGACAGTGTTTCCGTTCCTGCTCCTTGAGGATGGCATGGATTGAGATGTTCTGACAGGTGTAAGGTCTTCCACCAGCACAATCTGAATTTCAAAACCTAGCACTGTGGCTGGTGTTGCACCTAAAAGGAAGAAAAGCCTTACACCGTCGGGGGGTTGCAGTTTGGCAAAGGTGCTGGAGGTGTATGTGGGCACCAGCAAAAACTGCTGATGTGCGAAGGGCATTAGCTGTGTTTTCCCTTCCATTATCTTGGGGACAAGAGAGAAATTTGTCCCCCTTCCTTTCCTTCTGCAATGTCATAACCCAAGTCATATTTTTACTGAAGAAAATCTAATGGCTAAAGGAAGAGAGGGTTTTCTGGTCTTTTCAGGAAAGAAGTGCTATCTTCTTGGTGTCAGGTTGTTTTGATATTCCCCCTTAGAGTCTGGGACAGACACTCTCCCATGCTGGTGACTGCTGTAAATTGCCTCATCCAGGAGGGTCCTGACAGCTCACCTATGATGTCCTTAGGCAGTCAAGATGTCACTGTAATAAACACCCAGGCCTTGTAATCAAGGTAGGTTTTGTTTTATTTGCGAGGACAAAGTCAATAAAGCAGAAACACAGTGCTGGGTGCTTGACCAAAGCCAGAGGCACACCAAGGAAAATGCCTTATTCCCTTATATACATTCAGGATTGCATCAGTCACGTACATCATCATTTCAGGGCTGGGTTTTTACAGTTAGTTCTGAGGAGAGGCAGGGTTATTCCAATTACTTTGGGGGAACTTATTAGCATAAGTTCCTATCTCTTCGCGCATGCATACTGCTGACTGGTGGTCATGTCAGGGGTCTTGAGAGGAAGGCCCGTAGTCTTCTTCAACGTGAACTCTTCACCTTCAAGAGGAGTGTTGAGTTGGCTGGACTTCAACCCGCAGGACTGGTTCTCTCCGGGTGGGGGGTGCAGTGGCGCTGGGCTGTTATCTTTACAAATTCTTAACTCTTCATTTTTGGTTAATCCTTTGAGGCATCTTTATCTAATCTCCCTCATGCTAACAAAATACTTATGGTGAGAGCCAATGACATCTTCCCCCATCTTTCACATCACCAAGGTTCCTGCATCTCTTTGTGCAGTTCCAAACTATGCTAAAATAGTCAATGTTGCGATTCCTCAGTTAAATAAAAATAATAAAGTCATTGAAGTGAAAGACCAGTACTGGAGAATTAAATCAAAGGTATGTTTGAAGCTGTTTGCCTTCTGTGGGTTTTGCATTTCAGTATTTGGGGAGGAAGGGGGATGTGGTGGTTTTGGAAGACAGGACTGAATTTGGAGTTGCTTTGCTCTTCTCCCACTCCTGCTTCTGGTTTGCCCCATTGTGAGCAATTCATAAGGACCAGCACGTGCTCAGCCCCTTCTTGCATGGGAGGGAGCCTGAACCCCTGCCTCATCCTGATGCATCCCACAGTCACATGCATAGCCGTGGGGCCAGGGTGGCTGGTAAGGCTGGGCAGCATTGCGAGGACGTGGCCTTTTTCTTAAAGAATAAAGGGTGTAGCTGCCAGATCTTCCATTTTTGCTATGGAACCAGACATGGGGAAAAACTCCTGTTTCTCTACTGACCAGGAAGTTCCTGCTGTCTGTCTGTTCCTCAGTGACACTTTCTGTCTCTGTTGGTCTCATCACTACACTGGGGACAAAGCTGATATGTTTAAGACTACGGAATAACACTGGATACCCCCCTCCCCAACTTATAGTTCCCTATTTCTCTTTCCATCATAAGGAAGGCAATCTGCAGGCAGCCTACCATGGTCTGAAAGCTGACATAATCCAGCTGGAAGAGAGAAATGTCTTCTGTGGTTCCTACAATATTTGTGTCCTCGTGGACAAGTGAGTAGACTGCCTGGCTGCAGGGCCAAACCATGGCTTCTGAAAACCTGACCTCTTCCTTGTAATGCTTCTGTGAGAACATATGGCTGGAGAAGGGTCTCTCAGCATCAGTGTTAAGAAATCCTCAGTGTCAAATCCCATTTTTTATAAAGATACAAAGATAAGGTATTTTTAAAGACACAGGGGTTAGCAATCCACAGAGTGTCACAAGGGATACAGGGCTGGGAGGAGCCCTCTCCCCTTTTTAAGGTTACCCTCCAAATACAAACTTGGGTACACAGAACTAGGGACCTTGGCTGTGGTGCCCTGCAAAGGATTCACCTGCTTAAGCTCATTGCCCATCAGGTTGCTCAGTGAGGACCATTAAGCATCAGAGAAATGCCTGTCACAGTCTTAGACCTGTTGTACTTTGTTAGCTGGCTAGCAGTCCTCTCTGTTACTGTGTCTTATCCAGAGCAGATCTGAGAAGAACAATCCATTACAGTGGTGGAAATTTGGTAGCCATTGGCTCTTCAGACCATAAAGTGAGGCTTTTTGATATGTTGGCAATGAAAGAAGTGCCTCCTCTGCTCTCTGACCACAGTGGGAGCATCCAGCGCTCTTCTTCAGTGAGAAGAGAGGGTTTGTTCTCAGCACAAGCTTTGATCTCAGCATCAGGTGAGCAGCGCTGGGACTGCACCATGGGATACCAGCCCTTGGCAAATCTTGGAAAAATGGAACCTCAATCCTTTCACTCCAATCTTCAGGAATCCTGCTTTCATTAAAGTAATGAAGAAAGGACAGTACATAAAGAAACACATCCCCCACTCGCCTAGGATGGCTTCTGTTTTCTGACTTCACCCAGTACTGAATGATAAAATAGGAAGATAGTGATGCACAGGCTTTCCTAAAGTATCTTAAAATCCCAAATATGTTTTCCATAGGCACTTGCAGAGAGATTCTGGCTTTGCTGAGGTCAGCATTGAGTTCAGAGGGGCTGGGTTTCTCCATGAAACTTTAGAAGGCCTGTTGTACCAAGCAGGCTCAGCACCCTTGTACCTGCTGTACAGCTGCTCCTTCCCAGGTACTGAACCCCAAAATGAGGGGTGGGTGGAGATGATGAGCTCTTATATCTTATTTATCACTAAATCTCAAAAATATAACGATGAGTGGTGAAGAGCTAAGCAGCAGGTTGTCTGGCTCTGGCATGGCAACTGCACAACTTCATCAAAGGCAGCATTTAACAAAAAGGGAAAGAATTTACACCCATCTAGGCTCTGTCCTCCCTTCTCCAAAAGGGCTGTTTGTTTAGGTACTGGCTTGAGTTCTGTAGATAAAGTCAATAGAAATAGTCTTGGCACTGGTCAGTTAAGAAACAACTTTATCTGTAAAGCTCTACATTTTAAGGTTAATTGGAGGTAACCATGCCAAAGGTGAAATCTAGCCATCTGTTACCAGGTAGCTTAGAGGTAGAAGAACAAGGTATATGGGTAAAAATGTAATACTAAGCCTGGCTTGATCATTCCAAATCCTCAGACACCTTAGTTGAATGACTCCTGATTTTAATCGAGTATGTATGGGAGAAGAGCTGGGCCTGGTAAGTGGGAAATAATGAATAGGATGAGTAAGCCACCAATTAACTTAATCGCTGTATTCCCTTTTCCATCTGTCCTTTGTAGACTCTGGTACATACTCAGTGGTGCTTGTGTGAAAATCTTTATTGGTCACTATGGGACAATCACCTGCTTGGATTCACATGAAAAGAAGTTTGTGTTGGGAGCCAGAGATAGGATGGTGAAAGGTGATAGCCAGGACTAGCAGCTTCCCAGACACAGGCAAAAAGTAGTGAGCAATGGGCAGAGTACTTGAGAGCTGTGGGGAGTGACACACGCAGTGTGTGAGTGTGAAAACTAGTCTGTCAATCAGGGGGTCAATTCTAGTGTCTCAGAGTTTTGCTTCCAGAACAGCCTAAGCTGTGGACACATGCACATGCAAGGTCTCTGTGTCACTGAATAAATTCTCATTGTTTCTGCTTTTATTCAGATTTAGTGGCTTTGTGGCTAAAGGGCCAGACCACCTCTTGGGAAACTGGTATCAACTTTCAGCTTTACCAGAGGTTTCCTTATTATTAGCTTACAGAATAAGAGTGAAAAGGATGTGCTATTTTCTAGACTGCATATAAAATTTTTGCCATGCAATTACACTTAAGGCAATGCTTGCCTATATGCGGAGCTGCAGGTACAAAGCACAACTGTAATTCCAATAGTATCTTTTAATTCATGTTGTACTCAACAAAACTTATCATTGGGGCATATGTATTTTTGATATTTCTCCCCTTTGCCCCTAATAGTGTGGAGCCTCGAGAGTGGGAGATGTCTCAAGACTCTGAAGCACAACAGTGATGTTTTGGTAGTTAAAGTGGATCACACCTGTGTTGTCAGTGGCTGTGAGCAAGGGCTGGTGAAAGTCTGGTGTGCTGATAGAGGCACCCTGATCAAAGTAAGTTTCTTCTTGGGTTGTCAATTTTGTGCTAAATAGTAAAAAAATCTTCTGTGCTAGTTTATCACAGCTTTTTGCTTTTGCCAAAGACTTACTTTAAAAAAACAAAACAAAACACCAAAACTCAAGGTATTCTAAACTGATAAAAGAAATTGCGGAATTATTCATAAGCAAATAATATAAAAACTGATTTGCAAACGACTGTCAATTTTAACCCAGGATTTGATTTGCCTGCTTAACCCCCATCATTACTTTTTCTCTGTGGATACATTCATCTCGGCTCCTGTGAAAACATTCAGAACCTGGGAAGAGGATGGAAGGGTTTGACAAACAGCTCTTGCGGTTGGGGGTGTCATCTATTACCCCAAAATATGAAACTTGCTCTCAGCACTGGTAGCAGCTCAGTAAAGCTGAAACAGCTGGAGAGCTGCTCTACAATCTAAAGATTGAGGCCAGAATCTGCTATTTACCTTAGCAGGTGTCCAGAATTAGTATTAGTCCACATCTGAGAGAAGTGAAGCTCTTTCTACCTGTGGGGAAGAGAGTTGCAAATTGAGATGCATCCAAGATGCAAGATGTCCCAGCTCCAGCTGAGCTAAGTTTGCAATTGCCCCGTCCACTATAGTCAGGGCCGTCCACTCTCTTCCCTCCTGGGTGAACATTCAGTAGATGACAAAGGTCTTGGTGCAGTAACATCTATTTAGCACATGTAATAAAGATGGAAAATGGCTGTTAATTCCATGCCAGTAGCTCATCAGCAACAAGCCCAGAATATTTATTGTAAGTGACAATAAAACTAACAGAGTTATCCACAGGGTGTATTGGTATATTATAATAACATGCAATAAAACTACAATATAGTGTATGAAGCTGGTGCTGTGAATGCCATAAGATATCTTGGCATATTTACATCCAGACCGCTGACAGTGTTGTACCTGTTTCTTTTACCTTGCAGATATTAGAGAGGCACTGAGGCCCAGTTAAGTGCTTGTCCTTTGATCAGTGGCACCTAGTCACAGGAAGCACCGATGGATATGGCCTGGGATGGTGCATGTTGGAAAACGTCAAGAGATGCCTAAGAGTTTTCTGTTACCCTAAGTAGGAATCAGATATGTTTCAAGTTGTGTTAAACAGTCCACTAAGTCTGTAAAATAAAAATAAATGCCTCCCTTATAGGAAGAGAAAACGCCTTAATTATCAGTCCTAGTATTTGAAATATCCTCGCTTTTAACAATCTTCATCTTAAAACCAGTGCCAGGCACTACGTGATGGTAACCAGTGTTTGTCAGTTAAGATCTGTAACAACCTAAAATGCAAATATGCAACCACTTGCTCGCAAACAGGGATGACTTAGGACTGACAGTGCATAGTCCAGTATTTCAAGGATCCCAACCTGTATGCAAGAGGGTGTCACACTACCTGGTCAAGAATAGATGCTATGTCAGAGGTGGCTGAGTTACACACTGAACCCTACCAACTGTATGTTATGCCATTTTCTAAGACTTTAATTGTATACTAGAAGGGTGGAAACTGTAGCATCATATTGTTTTAATTTCCTAGACATAAAAATGAAATTTAAAATGCAGCAGATGGTCGTACCACACTGGTTGCTCCAAGGATGCGCTGGGCTGGTTGGTTTGGACATGGAGTGATTATGAAGGTCTTCCCTATTAGACCTTTAAAATATCTTGTTCAGCTCCTCTGATTAGCCTGTTGATGGAGGCAGACCTTTGCATCTCCTCCAAGATACGAGAGGTAGTTGATTGTGTCTCCTTGTGAAGGCATGGTAAATGTGCCAACAGTTATGTGTTGTGTTTTCAGGGAAGTTCTGTCTCTGGAGTTCCTCTATCTCAGAGTCATCAGTGGCTGTGCTGATGGAAAGACTCGTATATTTAGCTTCTTGACTGGAAGCTGCTTGAAAGTGTTGATGGCCAATAGCAGAGAGGACCCTGTATCTTCTTTTTGCACAGGCAGCAGTCATTTGGGCCATTATCTTAATTAATGGGCCCACAAAGTCATTACTTTGTGAGCCCCTCCAACTTCCTTATCAGCAAGGGAGGAACGCCTCAGATGAAGGGAGTTGGTGGGGTGTCCTTCAGACATCCCACAGCTTCTCCCAGTCAGACACCTGGAAGATGTGAGCTCATCTCCAATTATGAGCAAGGCTGCTGATCCATTTAGACAATTAGTCGCAACAGAAATGCTTGAGGCAAAACACTCACTTTTCTGTGTCTTACGCCACGCCGTGGCTCAAACCTTCGAGTTGTTGGTTCTGTCTTCATTTCCCGGTGAAGATGCTGTCATCAGGTTGATACATCACCCTGTGGTTTAAGCAGATATCTCAGCTTTGCAGTTGAAGTCATCTTCTAGGGTGGTGATTCTCACCTAGCGAACAGAGAGTGGGAGGGAAATGGCACAACGAGTGATAGCTATACCAATCCTTAAAAATATGAAACCAGCAACCAGTATTAACCCAATTTTCATTAACTGTGCCCCCCACCTCTGTGAGTTCTAAGGACTGTAGAATAGAAAGTAACCAAGAATTTGGAGTCTGACTATTAAACCGGTCCTTTGGCTGCAGGGATTGAAATAGTTCCGCTCTCTGGTCTGCTATTTCCTTCATTTTTTTTGTTTGGGCTTCCTCTGTCAAGGTAGTAGCATTGTGGATAGTGGTAGATTTAACATTCCACAAACCCCATGTTCCTTGAGCAGTAGCATATCCAAGGACAGGTGTTTCTGAAGTGTCATCTTTGGTATGTGTTGGACTTTTAGGTTCAATTCTCCAAAAGCATATCTCATCCAACTGCTCCAAAGATGCACCTGCCAAGTGATATTTTCTAAGACAAACTGGTGACATTTTGAAGTTATGGATGGGGTAAGGATATTCTCAAACATTACAGGAACAATCTGTCCACTGGTATAATAGAAATTAACACCACAAGTTGAGCACAAGGAGTACCTAATCCACACCTGAAGCCAGCATGATAATCCAGTGTCAAATAAGAATAGAATTTCCCATCTGAACATCCCCGTGCCAGTCCCAAAGGAGCTGGATATATATACTAGTTTTGCATGTACATTGATCTGTATGGTTTAAAAATGGTGACAGTAGGCTTGGTGTTCAAGGGTGTTCCTTGTATGGGAAAATGGTATAGGACACTCCACACTGTCTCACAAAAGAGCTATTGGTAGTGTTGCAGTGTCATTGTTTTTACATCCCTTTGAGGGGTATTCCCAACATATACACATCTTGGATTAAGGTTCTGAGACTATCAATGAACCAGGTTTTGGGTGGAGCTCCTGGCCCTGAGGCGCAAGTGATTGTTTTATAACAGTTGAAAAAGGGGACTTTCGGTTTCTTTGATAGGTGGATCAAATTTGGGGTTTACAAAAGGTTGCTCCAGGGTAGATATTGACCAAGCCACATCAAGTTTCTTTTATTCCACACAGAGACTAGGGTCTTGTTTGGAAGTAAAACACACCATTTAAGGTGCCAGTGACTGGAAGAGTTTGCTTCAAAGTAGCTTCGTTAAGGGGTCAAACAAGGGGCTTGTCCATCAAGGGACTCAAAAGTTATAATAGTGACAAGGAGTTTTCCTGACTTTTTTTGAAGCCTTTTCCCAAAGCACAAACTGTAGGGTTTAGGTGCATGGGAAGAGGTGGTGGGGAACCTCATTCCTTTTAGAAATCATAGTTTCAAACAAGATGGATCCCAAACCATCTATACACAAATACAACGTATGTTACAGAATCTGACTTTATTATGACCTGTACAGGTTATGGCAAGGAACACTTCTGAGTTAACCAGGACAGAATTACCTCTGATGTTGGCAGCATCAGTAGCGAGGCCAAGGATGAGCAAACTGAAACAGGGACCATTGGCTTGTAGCTTCCTACGCTGCCTCCTCCGTAGATAAATTTGGACTGTCCATATGCCTGTCAATCCAGCTCCCATCCCTGGTCTTACTCAGAGTACTACTCTGTCAACAATGATCACAAAAACTATCCTCAACTCCAAATGTGTTTTTTTACTTTTGGAAACAGATGGTAAATCTGAACATGTCCCTTCTCTCTATGTACCTGCACATCCTGACAGGGAAGAAGCCACTTTGCAGCATGAAAAGAAAAGAGGCCCAAGTTGTCCAATGTCCCTTGACAAGCTCCTTCTAAGACTCAACACATTGCAGGATTCCCACAAGGCAGCCCCAGTCAGCTCCAGTGTTAAGCACCCAGCAGAAGTCAGGGAAGGATGGGAACATCCACTGGTGCATCAGCAACACTACTCTGAAAAGGTAGAAATAGACAAAACCCCTGTGCAACACGAAAAGCATCAGACAGTCCAGCTCCAACATGTGAGATTGCACAATGATTCTTTGACTATGAAAAGGATTTCTCTAATCTTTGAAACCAAAATGCTGCAGCTCAAGCTGAAAAACTCTTTGCATGGACTCACTGTGAAATCCTCCATCCCTGCTCCCTCTGTTGTATGTCCCAAGACTTGTGGTTTGCCGCGAGAAAAGCAAGCTCACAGTAGTCATGGTAAAGCTATTCCTCTCACCAAAGACGGGGTTCAGCTTAACGATCCCTTTACAGCTTCTTCCAAACTGATCAAATCAACACGTGTGATGATTGCACAAACAAAAACCGAAGCAGTTTCCAGGAGAACAAAGCCCTTTTGTCTGGATGTTGCAGACCCTTCCCAGAGTGACAGTGGGTTCAGGCTTCTGACAGCAAAACAGAAGGAAGAGATCTTCTGAGGCAGCTACTGTAGCTCAGTATCAGGCACACCAGACAAAGCTCCCAGAAGATCAGCAAACAGCACGCAAGAAGGCCTGGTTAAGGAAAATTAAAGTCCTACCCATAGACTCTTACTGGGGAAGGGAAAATAGCTGCTCCTGAACTTGGGCTTAATATATATGTCTAAGGTAATCCCTTAGTCCAACAAACCACCAGTGTCTGAGGATTCTGATGTCCAGCTGAGTCTGCCATGTCAAGATCCCCGTGGTTTCTAAGTATAAAAGACATCTCCACTGTAAGTTTTTCTAAGATATATTATTGGTATATTCAGGTTTCGCTCCAGGCAGTGAATGGACTGAGTCCTCTCCTGGATTTATCTTGCCAGACCTGTTGTTACTACAGACAGAGCACTGTTTAACAACTACATAGCCTAACATATGGCTCAACTGTGTGTGAATAATAATAATAATAAATCTTATTAGCATCTATGTGGATTTATTAGTGTTTATAAACTGAAGCAGTGTGGACTGAAAACTCCCTGAGCAACTGAGCCCAGAGGGTGGTGATCAGTTGCACCAAGTCTAGTTGGAGGCCAGTAACCAGCAGTGTAACCCATGGGTCAGTACTGGGGCTGATTTTGTTTTACATCTTCATTAATTAATGACCTGGATGATGGGGCAAGGTGCACCCTCAGCAAGTTGGCAGATGACACCAAACTGGGAGGAGTGGCTGATGCACCAGAGGGCCGTGCTGCCATCCAGAGAGGTGGTTGTGCAGCCCCCCCGGGCCACTCTGCAATGATCTCAGGACAAGCCAACATTGTGTTAAAAGTGCAGTGAAGTCGAGATGATCAGGCACTCCCTGACCACATCCAAAACTCCTGCTGCCTGGATCATAGCCCGATCTGGTAGGTACCAGAACTGTATAATTTGGAAAGTACTGGAATTGTATGGTTACTGAAATACCAGATTTACCTAACACAAACTGGCCAAAACTGAAACAGGTATGATCAAAGTCAATAATCTCCCAGTCCTATAAATACCAGTTCCAAGGGAGGTCCTTTGAGCTCTCCCAGACCGCAGCAGGCTGCCACCAGCATCTCCCTCTGAGTGGGACACCTCTCAGAGCTTGCGATCTCTTAAACTTGTGAAACTTGGAGGACCGTCTCTGAAGACAGACGATGGGACCTGGGCTGAAACCCTCCACTCCTCGAGGCTCAACCCTTGCCCATTGAGAAATGCTAAGATATTTGAAGTATTTCACTGAACTTGAGAGGGATTTTTAACAGGTGTACCTTTATATATATATTATATATCTGTATCTATAGCTGTGTGTATATGTGATTTAAGAAACTTTATTAATCAATTGATTGTTGATTCTTGATGAATTAAGTTTGTTAGAAAATCATATGATTCAGTCTCTTGATTTACTATAATAGTGCTAACGAACCTTAAATTGCTGCTACCCCAAAGTCACACAGAATGCATAATCACATGTTAAAGCACTACACTGAGACCCCTGCACCTAATCCCTTTAGACACAAACCGTTGACCAAGTCTGGGACTAAGTCTGGATCCAGCCGCACCTGGACACCGCTCAGAGAAGGAGTTTAGAAAGCTGGGGGTCCACTCTGAAGCTCGTGACTTAATGGGAGGACCTTCCTGATCCCTGTATAAATCATTCCAATACGACTGACTCAATTTCCTCGATCCACATAAAAATAATTCAATCCCAATTCTAATTTGATTCCTCTCCTGTATGCTTTTTCCATATAATAAGTAATAGAGTGAACCTTGCCATTGAAGTAACGTTTTTCTACAAACTCATATTAAAATCACCTTTCTCTATTATAATTGACGGTGATTCTTTAAGCCACTTTAAGTCCTTCCACCTCCACCTATGACAAGAGGGACCTGGGCAGGCTGGAGAAATGGGCTGAGACACCTCATGAAGTCCAGCAAGGGGAAGTGCCAAATCCTGTCCCTGGGGAGGAGCAGTCCCAGGCACCAGGACAGGCTGGGGCCACCCAGCTGGAAAGCAGCTTAAAATCTAATTTGCATTAAATAAAAAACAAAGGTAGTGGTTTCTGTTCCTCTGGTTTTGTGGATAAAACGCCTAAATGTGCTTGATTTCCACTAATACTCAGGACTTCAATTGGCTCGAGTTGGGAAGACAAAAACTTCTCTAGTTGTCCAACTTTGAGTGTCTGGGCCAGTGTACCGGACTTCTCTCCATTATTCTCTTGCGTAAGAGGCCTGAGGTCAAACGTCCTTTCAGCAGCAGTTCTGGTTTGAGGTGAAAGTCTGTGAAACTCTCCATACAGTAGGATGGTGATTAGTTTTGGTTTGTTTATTTTAATGTCATCTTCAACTTCCAAACCCTGGGATTAAGCCAGAACTTGCTAACAGTGAAAAATAATAACACTCGTCCCCCAAAGATTAATAATGAATGTGTAATAAAAACTAAGTATCCATGTAAAACTATGAGGAAGCCAGAAACTACTGAGGATGTGGGAGCTGGACAGTTGTAACTCAGATTTGCTGCCGAAAGGCTGTGCGGGCTGGGGATAAGTGAGGGTGGGAGGCTGGAGATTGGCTTTATTGCAGCACAGCTGCAATATGGAACAGGGATTATCCTCGTCTGAGGTGGCTTTGCCGGATGATGGTTTTCAGACGAGAAGCAGCAAGGATTTCACACTCAGCCACAGGATGGCACTTTCTCACAAGAAATGAGGTGTAAGCCCAGAACAGCTGCAGCCAGAGGCCCTTTGGCACAACCTTCCCTCACTCCCCCCCGCCCCCCGAAAAAAAGCATCTAATAGAGGAAGCTGGATTGAAAAACATCACGGAAAAGCTGACGCCTTTTTAGTCATGCCAAAATGAGGAGGATTAGAGTGGTGTCTTCCTATTTGGAGACAATAAATCAGCATCTCCCTGCAGGTGTGAGTGCTCAGGGACTTAGAATCACAGAATGTTGTGAGAGATACTACAGCCAACAGTGTGGAATTACCTACAAAGGCAGAGCTGGACCAAGTCTTTCTGTGACCGGCTTTAGCTCAGCACAGTGGATGCACAGCTGGGAGTCAGAGATGCATTGGAAGGGGATTAACATATGGGAAGATGTCATACACGGTACGTAAAGTCACGTATGAAGGTGACTAAGAGAAGGTTGCTTTACTGGTTTTGCAATTCACTTCTGAATTAAATCGACCTTTCTGTGCAGCGGTGACAACCTGGGGTGCAGTGGGCAGCACTGGTGTGCAGGGTGTGATGCACCTGCAAGCAGAGAGAAAGCCAGACAGAGTGGTGGCAAGATACTTTGATAGAGTTTTTTTGTAACAAGGTACCATTAATGTTCTACTTGTCATTCATAAAGTGCAGATGATATTGTCCTGATGTCATGATACTGTATTGATGTCGCAGCAATTTTGTTTGTACAGCTCTACAGGCATTTCTGAACAAAATGTGCTTTTACCTGAGTGTTGGTTATAGCCAGAAGTGTTGGTATTTCAGCTGAGGAATGGTGCTCGGTGCTTCACACTGTGAACAGGAAAGGAGCAGGAGAGTATTAAAAGGGATAGCAGGAAAGGTATAAAAAGTAAATTAAGCTTTTCTATAGTATTGTATTTCTCAGTAACAGCTTTGAGTTGCCCGTGAAATGGCATGGTGACTTATGTGAGCATATAAAATGCACTTGTTAACTAGGTAAGCAAAATGGACTTTTTAATATTGTCTTTATAAAGATATGAAACGAAAACTGTATGCGGGCAGTATTGAAGTGCAAGGACGTTTTAGGTTGTGTGTATCACACTTAACATAGTAGTGATTCTAATAACCCTGTATCTGCCCTTTCTAAATTATTAAAAAACAAAACAAACCCAAACTATTAAAGATGTATGAGAAAGACTATTAAACAGCCAGGTCTTTACATGATGAACATTAATTCTCCTGACTTGCTGCATAATATACTTATTTCTATAGTGCCTCTCTGCTGTGGTCTTTCAGGTATTATATAGAAATAAAATGTTAATCTGAATCCAGAAAGTCATGGGAGGGAGGGCTGAGTCACTTACGGCACTACCAGATTCTGGAGCTCTTTATAAGCGAGTGTGGATATGAACCCTGGAGCATGGATGAATCCGAGCCTCCGCGTTACAGTCAGCATGTCTGGGGATTTCCTCTGTAGTCTCAGCTCCATGTGTTGATCCTCCTCCTGGATGGCTCCAACTGTGGGATCTGGGGCCCCAGCTGCGTTTTGGGGACACAAGAGCCTGATGCTTTGCTGCCCATCCCAGCAGGTACCTGTGGGTGTGTGGAAATGCCCAGAGGGCTGAGGGGAGCTTTGTCCCACAGCAGTGCCTGAGCAAGGTGAAAGCAGCAGAGAGCTGCTCCCCAGCTCCAGAGTGTGTCCTGTCCCCAGGATCGAACAGCACCTTTGGGTCATCTGGGAGGAAATGGTGTGTGTGAAAATGCTGTCTTGATAAAAAAATAATAAAGTACTATTATTTTTTTTGCTTTGTCCTCAAAGCAAATGTTTTGACATATGCTTTTTTTTTTTTTTAAAAAAAAAAAGGGAAAAAAACAAACAAACAGGTGACTGTTTCCTTCAGAGGTTTTTCAGTAGAATCTTTGGTTGGCTTGTTTGTTTTGTTTTACTTTTTGATAGTTTCACTGAAAGGTTAGGCAGTGGTGCTGCGTATCTTCAGAGGTCCAGAGAAATTTGCATTTCTGCAACAATAACAACATATTGTTGTTAACAATATGTTAACAATAACAGCAACACGGATGGTAATTTCTGCAACATCTCTTATGCTGCACCACAACCAGGTTTTAGATTTTTGCAAAGAAACCATGGGGAAGATTGTCCCACGAGAATGCATGATTGGAACCAGCACTTCATAGGCTTCCATACTATTGCTTTAGATTATATTTTTAACTAAAAACTAGTTTTTATTGGTAGTGACACATGCTAGTGCTAGAATAGACCTCACATAGGTCCCCCTTGCTTGTTCTCCCATCTCTCAGCAGCATGTGGAAAACATGAAGCAGATGAGGTATGAGAACAGCTCAAAGTACTCATGGGTCAGCCCAATTAAAGATTTGTTTCTCTTTAAAAAGCTCTGGATTTCTACATCTTTGCTTTGAAGGATCACTTCCTATAGAAATCATAGTCTTACAGGTCTGAAAT